TGTTTCATTTGTGTTCGTGTTTCTGAAATTGCTGACAGTTAAGACAGGCCAAGGGGTGCGAAAGTAATCCTTCTTGGTGGCAAAACAGGGACTTTTCTGGATAAGCTCTTTTAAAAGCTGAGTTAGGAAGAGAATTTTATGCAGCTGTATGTTCTTGCGGTAACATATTCCTCACCTTGTGCCCCATGCTTACAGGCAGGGTTAGCGAAGGACAAGAGAAGACCGTATCAGAGGTTAGCTCACAGAAATGAAAGCGAGCTATTCAAAGTAACTGCTTTTGTCTGAAAAGGGAAGGGAACAGATGCAGCTTTCCCCTAGGCCTCTGGTATCTTAAGCAGTAGCTGAAGCTCCCACGAGCTGTGCCCCAGTTGTCCCCAAAGCTGCCCGCTGCTCCCTCCTTTCCCCAGCATCACCCCATCTTTCCAATACAACACTGTGAATATGACACCAGTAGCTCTTTTTAACGTTTCCATTAAAACTGCTCAGAGCATGAAATGCTGTCCGACGCTGTCACCTGGTGACACTGTAGCGGAGGAGCTGTGACCAAGAGCCCTGTTCGGCTGAACAATGATCCCCAAACAGGGACACCGATGATTGAGCACTTCCTTGCGGAGCAGTAGAAGAGTATTGTAACAAGAGTTAACAATGTAAGTGGCTTTGTATAGCAATTTGCTAATCAAATTTGATTTCGTAATGAACTAAACTGACAATCAATTTCTAAAATATAAAAGCCTCTTAGAGGGAAGAGTCAAGTATGTCTTCAACAGAAAGATTAACTGGGATAACTTTTAATGAAGAGCACAGGATTTTTTCCTTTTTTTTTTTTTTTTTTTGAGCAATCTTTCCAGAAACTGAGTTGCGTTAAGCAGCAGAAGATTCACAGGACAGTAACTACCTCTCTCTCTTGGAGTGCTGAGGTTACCACACTACACACTCTATCAGCAAAGCTTTCACTTAAAACAGATTTGTTTTCCTTACCTCTGTGTTTCAGAAATGCAGGTCTGCTCTGTAAAGTGACTCTATGAAAATGGCATCTGGCAGGAGCAGGGGGAAGCCTTTCGGGGTCCATCATCCCTCTTTGCCGCCAGTTTCTCACTGTGACCCTTGCAGGTGCGCTCTGGGGCTGCGGCAGTTCAGGGTGGATTCATATTCTGCGTAGTAGCAAGCTGTCCTGCGGGCCAAAGGCTGCTGCCAGAGCTGCGAGACTGTGGGCTCGACCTCCTGCACTGGGAAATTAGTTAACGGTGTGGAAGGTAAGAGGAGAGTCCATCCCCTCCTGCCTCCAAGGGAGCAGGCAGCAGTAAAAAAGCAATAAAATAAACAAAACACTTTTATATGTTGGTCATTATTCAGCAGATCTCACTCTGCAAATTTATATATATATATACATACACAAACAGAGAGCAGATCTCTCGTGTGAAAAGGTGCCATTTTTTTCTAAACAGAGTCCCTTTCCAAACTAGAACAGCACTTTAAATAGGTTCCTCTTAAAAAAAAAAGAAAAAAAAAAAAAAAGAAAAAGAAAAGAAAAACCCTTTACTGAAGAAATGCACTTTAAATCGTAAGATGAGTATGGCTGTTGCTGGCTTTTGACACAGCTGTACAGGTAGGTGGCTTCTTGTCAGCCAGAGCCCAGGAGGGAGCGATGCTGCCAGACCCTGGACCGCAGCTCTACCTCCCGCTCCCGCAGCCCTCCCGGCCTGGCGCTGCCCCTGCCGACACTACCGACAGGAGTTTCCACCGCAACCGCAAACCCGGTTGCCGCTCAGCCGTGCTGTAGCACTAACAGGCCTGGCACGCATTGGCCTGTTAGAATACTTTTGTAATCGGTCAAAAAAACCCACCCTTGCCTGTAAAGACTATTTAAACCCTGTTTATAATAGGTTGGACGTTACACCCAGTTACAATGCAGCAGACGGCCCAGCCGTGCACAGGGCTGAGCTAAGTTGAACGAGCAAAACCACGACGAAGTTGTTGCTGGGATTGTGGGGGTTTTTTTCCATAACATGGATATGGAGCCCTAGTCAGTTCAGTATTTTTTTATTTTATTTTAAACCCAAGTTTGTGTGTCCCACATTGATTCTGCTCTGAGCTGGTTTGCAGAGTAACCATTTGTAAGAAAAATTGTGCTGTCACCTTCAACTGTTGACCTATAAATCAAACTTTTCTAGGGCAGGTGTCCTAACACTCAAGACTTACTTTCACAGTTAAGAAATTTCCTGCTGTACTAATTATTTTTTTTTTTTTGTTGCAATCCTTATTTCAAGAAAAAAAAAAAAAAAAACCACACAACTCAGTGTTCACACTAGTTTGCAGTAGGTTGAGGCGTGAGCCTGCTGTGTGTAACTTGTGGATATCGGACTGTTCTTCAGTGATTTTACAAGCTGTTCCCAAGCCGGTCCTCTACCATCGCTTTCCTGTTCCCCTTCCAGTGGGAGCTGGCAGCTAGAAGCTCTTTGGAAGGGCCGCCAGCTCTGGAGCCGATGGCGTACAGGGACGGCCAGTGCTGCTGGAAGGGGGGCAGGCCAGGCTGGTAAGAGAACCAGAGCTGGGGAAGGGGGAAATAAAACCAAGGTAGAGGGGACTGTACAATTGCGTTGAAAGCAGTTTAGCAAAAAGCGCTCTCGTTGGACAGCTTTAAGAACAATGTGAATGAAAACTTAGCAACTTGGGTAGGAATCTTTGAAAATTCTATAAATGTATACTTGAAATTCTGTTTGTATTAAAAAAACAAATCGCATTTTTCTTCTTTCTTTTAACACTGTGTAAAAGAACATTATGCATGTGAGTGGTTTGAGAATTAAATGGTTTAATACTCATATCCTCGTCTGTGTCTTGCAGCTCACTGGTCTGATCCGACATTGATTTTCTCTTCGCTGCCCGCTTCAAATCCACCACGGTGCGAGAGCCTGGGCCCTGCTCTATGCAGCTCCGTGCTGCCCTAAGCTTAGGAGCGTGGGAGAGGCTGGGCAGGGCCAGGCTGCTTTCCCTGGTATCTTAGATGACTTCTGGTTTGGTTGGGTTTTGGTTTGGTTTTTTATGAGCTTTGCCTCATTGCTTCTGCAGGCTCAGCCCTTTTTGCTCTCACTGTGTAGAAAAAAAGCACTGCGCTCCCGCTGCAGACCAGGCGCCCAATTCCCATTGCAGCAAGAGGGCTTTCCCAGCTGCCGCTGGCAGGTGAGGCATTGCAGCTCAGCACCATGCTTGGGAGAGACCCAGGCATTTCCTCAGCCCTCCTCTTTCACCAGCCTCCACCTCTGTAGCCTGGAGCACAGCCGCAGAGCTTACAGGAGCAGACTGCATGTTGCTGGAGCCGCGCAATGAGGTGGCAAGCAGAAGATAGGATCCAGCAAGAGAAGACGCAGTGGTGAGCGCCAGAGGAGGAAATGAGAAGAACTTTCTGAAGACTTAGTGATTTCCAAAACGCTCCCCTTTTTCTTCCAGGGCCCCAGCTTCTGCATTGAAGTAGCTGCATGCACAGCTTCTTCCAGAGGCATTACTCTAGGCAAGCATGTCAGCACAAGAAGGGTAAGTGCTTTACAGGTCTCGTGTGCGTGTAGGGGACTGATGGCTACGGCCCCATGATACAACAGAGGAGGTGCCTCTCCGTGTCCAAACCACACACTGCTTACAACGCAAACACAGATGCTCAAACTTTCCTACCGGACGACAGAAAACAGAAGGCTACAAAACCTTCCAAAACTACAGAGACGTCCCCAGACATGTACAGAGATCTTCCCTGAAGTGGCCAAACACCTTCTCATACCAGCTCTGCCACAGACTGGCACATCTAAGTTAACTCCCTCATTGGGTGGCTTCCTGTGGCCACTGCTGCCGAGAGGAAGCTTTTATAAAGGCGGATGTTTTGCTGGTTCTACAAAATTCAGAGTGAACTGCACGCTGGGGGACTGCCATCTACCAGTATTCCAGCAGCTGTCTGCACACAACGCTTCTGTAACCTGGGATGACAACAGGACAGGACCATGCTTTCACCTCTCATCTTGTTCTAAACAGCTGCCCTAAGTGCAGAAATCTGAAAGGAAAGCTCACCACGTTTTCTTCTGCATCTTGAAGACAGCCCTGCCAGAGGTCCTATAGTGGTGTGGCCACCGTGGGCGGACCAGGGGTTGGATCACACACGTGGCATGGCAGCAGGCCAGGACACTTCAGCTCTAGGAGTAAACTTGCAAGGCAAAATAGGGATTTTTAACGCAGAGTTATGGATGTCGGTTGCCTTACCTGGGCATTGTCACGGTTCATCGACACGCCCGCTACAGTAACTTCTAGCATGGAACTAGTTTAAAGCTTACTACTCAAAAAGACGGTTCCACAGCCTTGGCTACATGAGGCTTTAACTAGCGACTGCTCAGTGCGTGGAGGCGTGGGACACGCCAGACCTGTTGGCAAGCAGGGCTCCCGTGTTTGGCAGCTCCACCACCCACCTGCTGTTCCACACAAAGCTGTGTAAAGACCTGTCTGTCCCAGCCAGCAGATGCCGTTTGGCTGCTGTTGTTCCATTGACCTCTTCAGCAGGGGGGTGTTCTGCTGGGACCGGGGCGTGCAGGGAAGGACCCATTTATTGAAAAAGGAAAGTTTAAATAAGTGACTTTTAGTGAAAACTGTCCATTCACAGATCGGTTTCTTACATACAGATCTATAGGTTTTTAATGTACCAGGGGATCAGGAGTTACAGTTTGAGGCCTGAAAGGGAGGAGGGTCGGATACAAGAATGACAGCGATGCTGGACTCAGGCTTAGGTGCTACAAAAGTACAGGCGCCAGAAAAAATTCAGCTTCCCTTTGAGTGAAGGATGGAGCAGGTGAGGTGCCCTCTGAGCCCCCGCACCTGACACAGCCAGGGGAGCGGTAACAGCCCAGCTGGATACAGTCCCCCCCTGCAGCTCGCACCAAACAGTAAGACCAACCACCCCAGGAGCAGCCCGGGCTTTGTGGCAATACCCTACTGCCCCTTTTCCAGAGGTGGGGATGGGAGAAGCAAGGCCCTGACAGCCCCTTTAGGAGCAAGGATCAGCTATTCTGCCCATGAAGATGATGGAGTTGAGGGCGGCTTCCCGGATGAAAAGCAGGAAGGGCCTGTTGGCATTGAAGATTATTCTGTTCATGGGGAAGGAACGGCCGGAGACGATGACAGCTGTAGCAGCTGTTGCCTCGCTGCCTTCTTCATTCACCTACCAACCAAAAGAGAAGATGGGGTTAAAATACGGGCATTACGCAGCATGTATAGGGCTCTCCCTACTTCCCCACGGGAGGAGGGTGCCAAGCTCCCACTTCCCCCCAAAGCCCCAGATTGCTGAGGAAGTGGACAGCATGGGTTCAGAGCTATATTTCTTCTAATGCTTCATGTTTTTAAAAACAAAGAGGAAGACAATCCTGGGACAAAACAAGGCTCACCTCGAGGAAGGCTTTGTGGAAAGCCTCAGATACATACAGGTCTGTACGGCCCTCTGCAATGATACCTGAAACACAAAATGGAGAAAGTTAAAACTCTGGTTTTGGACAACAGCTCAAGAGAAAACACGCTTCCATCCTTCACGGCCTGTGTTCAAGTGGAAGGCATGTCTGCCCTAAAACAAAAATACCCTCCACCAACCACGATTGATTGCTTAACTCCCATGCCCTTTAGTGCAGAGCAGGGCTGCATGTCCATGACGCGACTGACCACAGAGTCCATCGCTGACTACATCTAAATGCTTTCATGTTCTCATTCCTCACGTGCTGCCTCACTTACTGCCCTGGTGTACAGTTACCCCCCACCTCCACACTGCACCACCCCGTCTCCACATCTGACCTGGGAGTCTGGCATTTTCTGGACTGAAGAGGTCTTCCAGTCCCATTTTTCTCAGCTGATCCTTGACACTGAAGTTGTCCTCGACGCGGAAGCGAGGGAGGTAGACGAAGAGAGAGACCTCCGTCATGGAGTCTATCCAGCCCTGCAGCCTCTCTGACGTCAGCTCTCGCTCCACCTCCACCAACGACGTCCCGGCACTGGGCAGGACCAGCACCATTGTGATATCATCCCCTTTGTAAGGCAGCTCCAGCACCTGGACTTTGTCCTCAGGGATGGATACATGGCGGAATTTGGACTCTTGGTACATAATTGGGACTTTGCAGGTCTCACCATTGGCTTTATGAAATAAATCCAGTTTTGTGTTTGGAGCTGGGAACTGCGATTTCCAGTGCCCCTAAAAGGGAGAGGGGGAGGACAGAGACAAACATGAGCATCATGTTTTCCCCCAGGGGAACAGGCTGCTCCCCCACTTTTGTTAGCCATACCTTAAAATAAATGGTGTTGACCAGGACCAAGACAGTGAGACCATCAATACTTTTTTCCGGGAGCACTTCTGTAATGCGCTTCTCTGTCTTATTAGCCACCCACTCATTAATGATCTTCCTGGAAAGTTCTGGCTTCTCCTGAAGGAAGAGACCAAAAAAAAGGTTAAGTCAAGGGTTTTAAACACCTTTTTTTATCCCTCCTACAGGAGACAGATTATCGGGGTGTGCGCTCAGGGAGGACTCTGCTCCCAGCGTAGTGCTACAGCATTTGGAAATGAGGGGTGGGGAAGCGACTGCAGTTAAGGTGAGCTGGGACAGGAGGAGCTGTGCCCCATACTCCCTCCTGCCTTCACCAATGTCCCACACCCAGACCACGGCACTCCCTGCGGGCACAAGGTGAGGATGCAGCAAAAGCAGAAGGACGGGGAGGAAAAATCTCCAACCAAACAACGAGAAACCTTGAGCAGTTCAAACTCACTTTGAAGTTCAAGGGCCAGAGTTTCGCTCCATAAACTATTTCACTAATGTTCTGGTAAGTCTCATTAAAGACCAAAGATTTCTCCCCGAAGAGGCGGTTGGCTGATACCAGCTCTGAGGATTTGTTGGCTTTCCTGTAAAGCCGGCAGTTCAGCTTGGCAAAGAAGAAGTGGATCTGATCCGATGTCTTCTCTGAAATGGTGTCAAACTGAAAGACCTGGAGGAGCCAAACAGCAAGAAGGAATCCATGAGCAGGTTCTTGTGCTCCCATAGCTCCCAAGCCCCTCAGACAGTGGTACTGCAGCCTTTGCCTGCTGCTCAACAGCCTGAATCATTGGAACCAAGAAGTCTGCAGGCCCTCAGAGCTTCACCCTCCATGTTTAATTTGGAACCCAAATCTATGTAAAAAGCAACACATTACTAGCCCAAGACCTTGTTTTGGAGTCCAAAATGCAGGATTAAATGCTGCTCAGCACGCAGAGGTACTGCTTCTCTTTCTAACCCTGGCTCCCTTGCTCTCCATACTCTGCCTTTGATGGGTCCTGCCTTCTGACTGCCTTGACCCAGCATCTTACCCAAGAGGACACTCCAGCTCTTGCTTGCTGAAGTCCCTTCCCTAGAGCTAGGAGCAGGGCGCCTGCCTGGATCTGCCTCTTTCTCTGCCTCTGTTCCCCATGTGCTTACGTTGCCCGGGCTGTCAGGGGAAGATGCATCATTTTGCCATTTTGCATATGTCTGCCTCAAACGTGGGCATGACTTCGCTACACCCTTTAGGTGCCTGTGCTGAAGACACACTAAGGTCTTGGAGATGTTTTCCCCTGTGCACTCTGGCCCCTGCTAGGGAAGTAGATTCTAGCTTGGCATATGAACCACAAGGCTTTCCCCAGTGCTGATAAAATTAACACAATTTACGCACAGTGTTCACAGACCCTCTGCCACACCCCAGCGAGAGCCTCTCACGAGATGAGGATCGGGCTGACGGGGCCTGGAAGCAGCTCTCGGGTCAGTGCAAGTCACAGGAGGACTCACACAAGGTCTGCGCTAAACCCTCCTGTGATGATGCCAAAGGCTGCTCCTTCCCAGGAGCGGTTCTCATGGCCTGTTGAGTAATTCTGGTACATGTTATCTATTTTTTTGCAGGGAACGGGACTATGTAGCAATCATTTTGAGGGTAGATTTCTGCAGCACAGTGAATTTTTTTCTTATCTGCTCCTAGTTGCCAGTTGGAAGGACAGTTATGATTTCTCTAATACCATCCAACCTCAGGGCTTTAAGGCACAGAAAATCCCATAGCATGTTGCTCCACATAAACATCCAGGATCTCTGGATTTCCTACGAGGCAAAGGTGCTGTTACTGGCCCTTTTGTATGGAAAAGGGGGTTAGGAGTGCAGCTCTGCATCCTGGGTGGCTCAGTGAGAGAAGGGTCCCCTTCCAGTGGGAAGGGCTGCCCAGAGGGGAAGGCACAAGTGAAGATTTTGGAGATGTGGTTCACTGCTCTGTTCAAACAGTGCGGATAACAGGCAGGAGACCCCAACATTACTTACTCCAGAGGCAGGATCTGCAAGGACAGCGGTGGTGGGGAGAAGCAGAGCAGTTTGATTCACACCACCTTGTTGCAGGGAGAAAGGCCCCTCTGGGCTGTAGCCACCCGTCTGCGAGGAAACTACGGGCAGTATCAACCCCCCGTGGCAGACGAGCGGGTCAGACAGTGAGAAGGGTGCTTGGATGGGCAGGGGGCTGATAGGTCCCACAGAAGAGCCAGAACTCAGGATTACCTCTCAGTCCAGGACCAAGTCCTCCCCGCTCCAAGTTCAGGAGCCACAGCTGGAGGGAGACGCTCGCTGCGTACAGGCTCCCCTGCCTGGGAAGCTCAGGCCCTTACTGTGCTGCTGAAATAGTGTCCAACACAAGCAGACAGAAGCTATTTATTCCTGGCTGAGTGCTCAGACTGCCCTTAAACTCACTACAAGGAGGCCCTCAAGAAATAACTGTTGTTCCTGTGCTCCCACAGAGTGGCAGAGCCCTGGAAGCGCGGGAGTCCTCCCCGCTCCAAGTTCAGGAGCCACAGCTGGAGGGAGACGCTCGCTGCGTACAGGCTCCCCTGCCTGGGAAGCTCAGGCCCTTACTGTGCTGCTGAAATAGTGTCCAACACAAGCAGACAGAAGCTATTTATTCCTGGCTGAGTGCTCAGACTGCCCTTAAACTCACTACAAGGAGGCCCTCAAGAAATAACTGTTGTTCCTGTGCTCCCAGAGTGGCAGAGCCCTGGAAGCCAGGTGGACTGCAGGGTGTCCCATGTGTCTTATTTTTGTCCCAAAGGAAAGAGGGGGTGTGATAAAGAGCTTCTCCCAATGGGACTTGATATCATGGCTTTTCCTGCTTTCTGCATAAGAAAATGCTTAGCTATCTGCTCAGCTACATGCTTGCCCAATCTGCAAGAAACAAACTGTTCCCATTCCCTTCCTTCGTCTCCCAAATGGGTTTCCCTTCCTCCAGATGAAAACTAACCTCTCAAAACCAGGAAATCCACCCTGAGTGCTGGGTCTAAATAGGGAGTCAGAGGAAAAAGCTGGGTTCTAAACAAATCCAGAGACAAGCAGCCTGTCTATGTCCTTCCCCAGGGGCTTGTTTAAATAAAGGCCTCCCTCCCCAAGCCAGGGAGCCATTCGGACCCAGAGAGCCCTTTAGCAGCAGTCAGCCACTATCACCTTTGCTGTCTTTCAGACCCTGGTGACAGCTACAGGAAAAGGCTGAGGAAGCGCCACCGACCTCCATGAGCTGCCGGAGGGTGTTACCGCAAGCGCCGAGCTTGGTCATGGCAAAAGCTGTAGAAATGCTGAGGGGCGACATGAAGATGTTTTCCCCATTATTCTTGGAGTCAGCCAGGTACTTGTAGAAGAGAACAGCAAAGCGCGAGTTGGCCTTCGACAGCTCCCAGACCCGGGGGTTAGTATATTCTGGGAGCTTGCCGTTCCTCGGCTCTTGCCCCTCACCCTCCTGGAGCTTCTTTTCGGGGTTGCGATAGATGCAGATGGGGTTCACCGGGATGTCGCGTGGCTTTGCAGCGCAGACATCTTCCACAACGTAGTGCTCAGGGGCAGCCAGACCCCAGACACTGAAGAGGCACAACACGAAAAGATGCATTGTCCTGGAACCAGAAAGAGAGAGCTTATACACACTCGCCTGCCTAGAAAACCCACCCTGCTACCGCAGCCCATGGGCCCTGTTTCAGCCAACATCAGAGTGACAGGAGCCCCATGGTCCCCCCTCCAATCGTCCTTTTGTCCTGCAGCAGCAGGATAAATCAGGACAGATGCCACCAGCAGGACAAGCGTGCCTCTGAGCACACACCGCTTTTAGAAATAACACGCTCTGCTTTCCTAGAGCCCTGGGTGCCCTCTTTTTAAGCAGCAGGCTGACGAGTTTGTACAAAAACGTATAGATTGAACTTCTGAGCCTGCCCCATCAGCCAACAAAAGGACTCTGCCTGTGACAGGAGCCAGCACGGAGCCGCCAAAGCCACCCGGCTGCCCCAACCTGCAGTCCAGGAGCATTCACGATTCTTTACAGAACCAAGCCGTCTTCCTCATGGGGAGAGCCCCCAGCTGTCCCAAGCTCCACAGACTAGTTGGCTTTAGACAAAATGGTTTTGACTGTTTCCTTCCCCTTTTTCCCGGGGGAATCCCCTAGTTTTCCTGGTCCCTTTTCTCCCTTCACCTGAGCTCCTCTTCAATTACTGTTTGTAGGGCTCACCTCAGCTCTACACTATTTAAGCTAGTGATGGACGAAACACTACAGCAGAGAAGGGAGGTGATAAGGAAGAGGCATCCAGGGGAGTTGGCCCCTCCATGCGTTGAGCATCTTTAATCCCTACAGCGTGTGTTTTATAAGCACGTAGGGTGTAGCTGCTACATCACAGCTATTCCTGTCCAGAGTTCACAACACCTCAATGCAAACTGGCTCTCCCTGTACCCAAGAAGGGTAGGCTGATGTTAATAACCATGTTCCAGCAAAAGCAGGTCTCTGAAAATCTCCCAGCAAGGCAGAGATAATTCATATTTTCCACCTTTGCTAAGGCAGGGGATCTGCACGCCCCATCAGCTCTGGCGGCAAGGCCTTATCAGTCACCCTACGGCCGATTAAATGGCACACGAGATTTCCTGTGCGCTGCGGTTTTGCGATGCCCTTTACGTGACTCTGTGTTGGGTTTGTTCACACACCCCGTGGGAGGAAGCTCACGGACCGCAGTCACAACAGCTTGGGAAACAACTACTGGAAAGGGCTGGCAGCCCGCCCAGGACTCGCTCACCGAGGAAGACTTTTTCAAAGAGGTGTCTAAACCTGGGAGGGTCTCTGCCTGCCCCCACGTACTCACTGCCGCAGCTACCAAGCACTTTAGTGACTAGCAAGTCACTAAATGGAAGATCAGCTGCATTTAGCACTGGTGATCTCCGTGTCTGTGGTCCCACCAGCCCTGGTGGGCCAGCACCCGGGGGCGGGAGGAGGAAAACGGGAGCGGCTCAAGGGCTGATCTGGGACACAGGAGACCTCTGAGTTCTTTTACAACCCCCTCACTGGGCTCTTGAGCAATGACTTCATCTTGGCTCCAGTTCCTCCGCAAAAGCAGAAATTACTTCATTTGGCACCAGGACCATATCGAGCCCTAAGGGGCCCTCTCTAGCATATGCTAATAGCATAGCAACAAGTACCGCAGGAAAACATGCAAAACAAGATGTACTTGCTCAGGCCATGGCCACTGCTCTTGCTGGTAACAACAGTCTTTCAAAAGGTTTGGAGTAGATGCAACATCACAAAGGGGGGGGGGGGAATCTAAAAGGGGAAGGAAGTCAACCAAATACAGAAACAAAAAACAACACTTGGGGCAGAAGGGCAAGAGAAAGGAAAACTATTCAGACAATTGAAAGTACTCCAGGAAGCGCTGCTGTTCCGAAACTCTCCCTCCTACAGGAAAAATCAGCCAGCAACAAGCCAGGCACACTTCTGTGCTCCGCAGCCCTAGGGCCAGGACCAGAGCAACCCTTCGCTGCCTGCCAGCTGCCCTCCCTCACCCACACTTAATTCTCCCTGGCTCCAGCAGCACGGACATGCCCGTGGCCAGTCCCACCGCAGAAAGGACAAGGACAACCTCGCTGCGGTCCCTGCCCTGTCACCCTGCTGACCTCCAGGGAAAGGCATGCCCGCAAGTATGTGCTGACCTGCCTGTACAAGCACGACTGCCTGCCTCTGTCAACACAGAGGCAGACTGCGGTGTCTGCCATCGCACAACGTGCTGCTAATCTCACATTTAAAACCCAAAGCGCGAGAGCAGGGAAAGCACCTCTTCTTCATCCTGTCCTGATTAAATGGGAAACACTCCCCCTTTCTACTTTAAAGTCTGGACTCCATCAGCTTAGAGGAGATACAGGACTTCATACTAATGCCTTAAACCAAATTTATCAGCCACTAGGGTCAGCTCAGGCCCTGACGTACCCGATCTATGTACACAGCATTTCCTGCAAGGGGGGAAATGCAGGACTTGTGGTGAACTACGACCCTGAGAGGCGACAGCTGCCCTTTAGAGCAAGAGCCCTTGCTGCAGTGCTTGGCCAAAACCCATTCCTCCTCCCTCCACAGCTCTTTGACACCGCCCTCTCCCCCTGCAGCACCGCCATGCACTCCATATGCCAACTGCTTTCATCCTGAAAGGATCCCAAAAGTATTACTGCAACATCGCTGTCCGAAAGGGGTTACTGGTGAGGAAGAATGTAAAAATTAGGAAGGGGTCTTTTCCCCTGCTTCACCCCTGTAAGAAGCGTAGAAAGCCAAGCAGCAAGTTGCTGATTCTGCACAAAACTAGAAGGCTCTGGACAAGTGCACAGAAACTCCTCTCCATCCCACGCCTGCTGTGAGCACAGCCAGGCAGCGCAGGACATCCCCATCCCACTGTTTCTCATCGCTGCATGAAAGGACGACTAACCAGGCTTGCAGAAGCTGTGAACCTCCCACAGCACCCATGCAGTGTGCTAAAGAGCCCAGAAAACATTAAGTAGCTCAAACCATTTTGAGATTGACTTAGGCTCTTGAGGAGAAAAGCCTTCCATGTCGTTGTTCCCCCCGCCTTCCCCCCAAAAAAACCCCAAAAGAGTGCAAAGCAATTCAGCAGCGTTCTTTTGCAGCCAGGCAAGAGATCAGTGATCACTCAGAACAACCTGACCCTATGGATTGCTCTCCACACTGTGAGGCATTGCTACAGGTCAGGCATAAAAGTCAAGCACGACACATCAGTGAGCTGTACAGAAGTGAGCCTTCGCGAGGGCTGGGATGGGGAGGCCCTCTCTCAAAATGGCTCCTCAGGCCCATGCCCAGAACAAAAAACACTCTGGCAGCAGCTAAAATCCATAGGCTCTTACAAAGGGAAACGCACTTGTGACAAGGAGTTAATTAATAATGAAAGGTTAGTGGAATCTGTTTCCCTTACCTGCCCCCGTACCTCCAGCCTTCTCCTAGGACGTAAACGCAACTGTTGAGAGGACAGGCAGTCTTGCTTGAGCCGAAACCAGTGTCCCCACTGGATTTCTGTGCTCGGGCAGAGCCGAGAGGAAAGCAGGGGAGGGTGGGAGGGGAGTAGGATGCTGAGGCCAAAGGCTGATGACCAGCTACAGAAGGTTAAGCAAAGAGCAGAAAAAAGCAATGTTTAGTTTGAAAGAGGTTTTAAAGTTCAATCTGACAAGGGAAAGTTCGACCACCTACCCCACGCAAGTGCCAGATGCCTTCAGCTCTTGCCAACAGAAAATTAACTGCTCATACCATGAAAGAAAACCAACCCAAACCCCAACACCCCAAATTTTCAAGAGTTCAAATAAATATGATGATCTAAGGTATTTGTAAATCTTTGGTGTCTTGTAGCTCAACAAATTGCTTCCCTCTGCCCCAAGCCCTGTCACCCCCCTATTCCCAAACAAGTTGGGAGCCCCAGTTCACGCTCTGCACACCCACCTTTTCGCTTGCACGACTGGAAAGCTGAGGGTTAACAGCATGTCCCCCCCGCCCCCAGCCCTGGGGTGGCAGGGTTCAGAGCAGGAGTGAGCAACACAATTTCAGATCTAGGATGCAGTTGCTCTACAAATTCCTCCTGAAGGTCAAAACCCAGGAGCTGGCTGGCTCAGTGGGTGCTAAAGCTGCCCTGTTACTGGCCTCCACTAAGAGGCCAGGTCTGAATGGAAAATGTAGCTGCAAACTGGTTTGTGAGAAAGTAAACGACCTTACTATACCAGTAAGGGCTAGAATAAAAATGGGACAGAGACTGTGGAAACCAATGCATGTGGAAAAAAAGGGCAACATGCTCCGGACCCAACTTTGCTTTCGGGGGTTCCCCTGCATAGTCTGGGACCACACGTGCCACTCTTAAAAACTGCCTCTGCCCAACAGGACATCCCTCTTGCTCTCCCATCAGTTCTATAATCGGGGGTATCTTCAAAAGCAAGCGCAACAGCTACACAATCCCCTCTCAACACTGCCCAGCACCACAGACAAACGCCCGCTCCTCAGAATTGCTTTCTGCCTGACCGCCGATGGGGCCGGACCCGCAGGGTGAGTTGGTGAGTAACCCGTGGGTCAGGCATCTGCGACCTGCAGGAGGCAAAGCATCCTTTCTCAGAAAGGGCTCTCATGCCGTACCTTGTTGCTCCAAGGGGCTGCTGGTTTAATTTTCCAAGGTAAGTCATACACTTGCAGGTCCCAGGGTCTTTGCGAGGAGTTAGGGATCCTCCACAGCCAGCAGGCAGACATCCGAGCACGGGCTTCCGTTCACCCAATACTTAGTTTAATGCAGTGAAAACAAGAGCAAACACTGATGGTATTTTGCACGTCCCATATACCTCTAAGCTAATGTGAATGAACTCTTAGCAGTGTGACAAAGTACACCGGTATTGCGACTGCATGCTCGCTTCACTGTAAAAAAGAGAGGCCCAACACCTAAAACTGAGCATGGAAATGCTTTCTTTAATGATGGTGGCCCTATTAACAGTGAGGTTAATTTCAGAATTGATGCCATAGGGCTGAAGGAATTTATAAGCTGCCCAAGCCATACCCTCTAGGGTGGCTGATAAATGATTTTTTTGAGTGCGGTACCTAAGTGACGATTTATTGCAGGTTCAGCTCAAAGAAACAGCCCAGCGCTGACGCCCGGGCAGAGCTGTACCTAAGGAAGCATCCAGAATGAGAAGTGTGTTAATACACATCATTAGCTGCCTTGTTTGCTCTCGTGGAGGGACCGCTTTTCTCCCAAAGCTGCTGTTCACAGACCCAAAGCAGGGACCAGCCGCTTGAAATCACCAAGCACCAAAGCTCTAACGCCGGTGGCCTAGGGCAAGAGGGATCAGGCATCGTGACCCAGTTTTAGCGGGGAGTCAGGTTTCACAATCGCGGGGCAGGACCCGGTGGCCTAGGGCAAGAGGGATCAGGCATTGTGACCCAGTTTTAGTCTCTCCCACACTCACGGTCCCAGAGGCGGGGAGTCAGGTTTCACAATCGCGGGGCAGGAGGTTACAGAAACAACTCAAGACATCCCAGCCAGGACAAGGGACCCCTTGGCCCCAGCGTGCTGCTGCCTTTCCAAGTGCCCGCGGAGCTGCGGGGCCGGGCACACCGCTGCCTGGCGCCTCCGGAGGAAGATCACAAGCTCTGCTCTCCGCTTTGCACAGAAAAG